TGGGGAAATTCAATGAGTGTTGCCATATTTGGAAATAGGATTTCTTAGAAGGAAAATTTCCATCCATAGTAGAAATCTAAGATCAGTCATATCCAAGTTCAACCAGAATATCCAGGTACCAACAGCAAAACTAATATAAATATATTTAAAGGAATATGTAAATATTAAAAATGTGAAGTGAGATATAGTAATTAAGAGTCAGTCAGGCCCTAGGTGGTTTGGCTCAACAGATAGAACATCAGCCTGCAGACTGAAGGGTCCCGGGTTCAATTCAGGTCAAGGGCACATGCCCAGGTTGTGGGCCTTATCGCCAGTAGGGGTGTGCAAGAGGCAGCCGATTCATGTTACTCTCTCATTGATGTTTCAATCTCTCCTCCCTTCCTCTCTGAATCAATAAAAATACATATTAATCAATCTATCTATCTATCTATCTATCTATCTATCTAAAGCCAGCAACCAGAACGCTATAACCACTGGTTGCTATGATGCCCACTGCAGTTAGCGAACCTGTCCCATTGGGGGAGGGGCTGGCCAGCCAACCTCCTACTGACAGGCCCTGCTCTGATCCGCCCAACCTGTGCATGAATTTGTGCCCTGGGCTTCTAGTAAATAGTCAGTCAGGCATAAAGCACTAGCATCATAGTAGCAAGTAGTATATATATTGGGATTACATATTAACATTATAGGTTATTGTGAGGATTAAATGAGATGTCATATAAAGGATGTAAGGAATGTACAGCTAAATATATTTTAGCTAATATTATTCTAGCATGAAGCAAAATAAACTTAACAATAAGCTTTGCTTTGATGAGTTTTAAATTCTGGCACTAATTTCTATATTGGCAGGTACTTATTTATTCTTCTTAGCTCAAGTCTGACCTAATGGTCTTAAATGGCTCTAAATCAACAGTTCTCAAACTGTGTTTTACAAACTCCTGAAAGTCCCAAAGACCCTTTCTCGAAGTCTATAAAGTGAACACTATTTTCATAATTTTATTAATAATAGTATAACTAGCCCTAACCAGTTTGGCTCAGTGGATAATGTCAGCCTGCGGACTGAAAGGTCCCAGGTTCAATTCTGGTCAAGGGCATGTACCTTGGTTGCCAACGGGCACATCCCTAGTTGGAGGTATGTAGGAGGCCGTTGATCGATGTTTCTAACTCTATCTCTCTCCCTTCTTCTCTCTAAAAAAAAAAAATCAATAAAATATATTTTAAAAAATAATAGTATAACTAATTTTAAAATACTAATGGTCTAATACCATTTTCATTTTTCACTGTTGACATTTGTACTGATGGTGCCAAAGCAATGGTGGGCAACACTACAGAAACCTTAGCATGAATCAAAGCAGTGGGACCAACATGCATTGGTGGGAATGTTATTCTTCACTGGTATGTGCTACCAAAGAGGGGAAAAATAAAGCTATCAATAGTTTCCCTTAAGAATGTGCCTAATGCTCTAGCCAGGTAGCTCAGTTGGTTGGAGCATCGTCCCCTTCCCCAAAAGGTTGCAGGTTTGATCCCCAGTTGGGATGGGTATGGGAGGCAACCGATGGAAGTTTCTTTCTCATATCAATGTCTCTCTCTTTGTGTCTCTCCTCCTCCCTTCCATTCTCTCCAAAATCAATGGGAAAAATATCCTCGGGTGAGGATTAACAACAAAATAATAATGCCAGTCCTCTCATTCTTTTTAAATTTGCGACTGCATAATGATTTTTTTTTTTTACTAAAACACATGATGTTAATATGTAATAAGTTTATTATAAGTATTTTTTAAATGAAATAATAAATGTTATCAGTTAATGTTTAATATGGTAAATATCAATATCTAAATCTATCTAAACTAAAAGTATTTAGAATCTTCAATAATTTTTAAGAGTGTAAAGAGGTTCTGAGACCAAAATGTATAAGAACCACTATTCTAAATAGTTCTCCAGCCGAAGCCGGTTTGGCTCAGTGGTAGAGCGTCGGTCTGCAGACTGAAAGGTCCCAGGTTCGATTCCGGTCATGGGCATGTACGTTGGTTATGGGCACATCCCTAGTGGGGGGTGTGCAGGAGGCAGCTGGTCGATGTTTCTCTCTCATCGACGTTTCTAGCTCTCTCTCTCTCCCTTCCTCTCTGTAAAAAATCAATAAAATACATTTTTTTAAAAAATAGTTCTCCAATCTTGGGCTGGTCTCTTCTGATTACTCACAGGAGACAGTGCTGAAGGCAAACCTGTCCAGTAGGAAATGACCACTTCCTGGCCAGGTCAGCAGGAAGCTAGTTAGCGCTGTGAGCTATTATAGTTAGCGCTGGGGGACATTCTCTCAGTAACAGGTCAGTCTAATGGAGCAGGACCACTGAATTCAAGAAGGGGCAGACCAGCCCTAACCAGTTTGGCTCAGTGGCTAGAGCGTAGGCATGAGGACTGAAGGGTCCCAGGTTTGATTCCAGTCAAGGGTATGTACATCCCTAGTAGGGGGTGTGCAGGAGGCAGCTGATCAATGTTTCTCTCTCATCCATGTTCCTAATCTTCTGTCCTTTTCCCTTCCTCTCTGTAAAAAAATCAATTATATATATATATATATATATATATATTTTTTTTTTTTTATTTTTTTTATTTTTTTATTTTATTTTTTTTATTTTTTTTTTTTTTACAAAAAAGGGCAGGCCAAGCATCTTTTTGGAAAGATGGGCTGCAAGTCTGGATCAAGGAAAAATAAACAGCCGAAACTCCTCTGGATTAGAAATTCTGTTTATAGATTAGGGAGAAACATGTTCTTTCCTGGCAAAAAGAGACAAAGGGGAATTGCCAAACTGAGCTCTAAGATTGATGTGGGACCCCTTCTTGTCTCTCTCCCTTCCAGGCATCAAGTGAACAAAGCCAGCCCTAAAGCTCGAGGCCTTTCAGATTCTCCCGCTTAACCCCAGGGTAGAAAGTGGTGCATAGGCCTGAATATGGCGGGGCCCTGAATTTAATAATAAAAGCCAGGAGAAACGTTTGACCCATTTTGGCCTCTTGTCCTGAAATTCTCATCCCACTGCAGGGAAAGAATCAAGCCATGATCTAAGTAAAAATGGGATGCTGTCCAAGAGGCAAGGGAGAGAGGATCGCAATTCTAGCTTCAGAAAGGGCAGTTTCTGGAAATAAGAGAAGGAGCATCACCAACGAGGTCAGAGCAAGGACCGACCGGCACCAGCTCGTGGGCTCAGTCTTCCTTCTGATCCCCGCGGGCAGTGGTCCTCACCACCACTTCCTCCGGACTTCATTGTGAGGAAGTAACCCCGGCCAACCTGTCTGGACCGGATCCTGGTGCAATTACCCGAGCGACCACGGGCCTCGATTTCCTCCTCGGTAAAATGGGAAGAGTGACCGAGCTCACAGCCTAGGGTGCCTGCGAGGGTCACCTAAGATAATGCATATGCATCCCTTAGCACCAGCCGTGGCACCCGCCCAGTGCTCAGAGGCAGAAGTTATTTATTTTTGTAAAGTATATTTTATTGATTTTTTACAGAGAGGAAGGGAGAGGGATAGAGAGCTAGAAACATCCATGAGAGAGAAACATCAACCTGCTGCCTCCTGCACACACACCCTCCTGGGGATGTGCCCACAATCAAGGCACATGCCCTTGACCGGAATCGAACCTGGGACCCTTCAGTCCGTAGGCCGACGCTCTATCCACTGAGCCACACCGGTTTCGGCAGAGGAACAGTTATTATTAGGGACATTCCTTTGTTCCATAGTCTCCTCAGTGAGAGGTGTTTTTCGTTATTTCTCAATAGAATCCCTTTCTATTTTATTTCAGAGGCTGTTATTTTCGAGGTTCTGGTCCCTCACATCCCTGAGTCATCACCATCAAGATGCCGGCTTCCGAGCCAGCCCCTCCTCCCGCCCTCCAGGCTCCCTCTGCGGACGGCTCCGCCTCGCGGGGCGGATTCACCGCTGGCCACGCGTCTCCGCGGGGCCGGGCCACCTGTCCGCGGGGACGTCTCCGAAGGGGCGGCGCCCCGCCCGAGCCTCGCCCGGTTGTGAAGCTTCCCCACCCTCAGGGGGAGCGAGGCCGGGGCGGCCGCGTTCCCACGGGAGGCCGAGGCCACACCCCGCGCTGAGGGGGCCGGGCCGCACCTGGACGGGCCGGAGCGCCCCTCGGGGCCCCCGCGGGTCCGGGGCGGGGGAAGCCTCAGGGAGCTGCGGGCCGCCCCGCGCGCCGCCCCGGGCGTGAGGCCGCGCAGGGGTCACGGCAGGGGTCACGGCTCCGGCGCCCCCTGGCGCCCTCGCGGAGACACAGGCGCCGGCGCACCCCGCGGCGCGGCGAACAGGTGCCGCGCGCGTCAGGCGGCGGCGGGGGCGGGGCCAGGGGCGCGGCCGGAAGCCCGGGGCGGGTGCGGCGGCCTGGCGAGCGCGAGGGGCCCCCGAAAGGCAGGAAGGAGCTCGCCGGGCTGCGCGGCGCGCGATGTGGAGCGGCCGCCTCGGCGCCTGAGCAGCCGCCGCCGCCGCCGCCGCTGCCGGGGCTGCCGCCGCGCGGAGGGACATGGAGCGCGGCTGCGGAGCGTGGCCGCCGGCAGCAGCAACAGCGCGCGTGGAAGCGACAGCGGAGCGCAGCCGGCCCCGTGAGGCGCTGCCCGGCCGGCGGCGGCAGCGGGAGCGGCAGCAGCAACAGCAACAGGGCGGCTGAGAACCCGGCGGCGGAGGCGGCGGCGGCGGCGTTCCTCCCGCAACCTCGCCTCGCCTCGCGGACCTAGAGCCTTCCTTCGCGGGGCCTCCCCGGACCACCCGTCTTCCGCGGCGCGCCGAGCGGCTGAGCCCGGGGGCGGGCGGGCGGGCGGAGGGCGCGTGCCGCCGGCGCGGGGGAGGGGCGGCCGGCGCGCGCCGCGCCCAGGACTCGCGGGGCCCGGGGGGCGCGTGCCGCGGCGCGGGGCGGGCGGGCGAGGCGCGGGGCGGCGCGGCGGGGCCCCTCCCCCTGCAGCCTGGCGCGCGCCGGCCGGGCCGCACCGCTGCGGGCTCCGCGCGCGGGCCATGTCCGCCTTCTGCCTGGGCTCGGCCGGCCGCGCTTCAGCACCCGCAGAGCCGGACAGCGCCTGCTGCATGGAGCTGCCCGCCGCGGCCACCGACGGGAGTCCAGCCGCCGCCGCCGCCCAGGTGTCCTTCCCCGGGGGCCCCGGGGAGCTGGAACTGGCGTTAGAGGAGGAGCTGGCGCTGCTGGCGGCCGGGGAACTGCCGTCCGACCCCGGAGAGCAGTCTCCGGCCGAGCCCGGGCCTCTGGCCGAGGAGGCCGGGCTGCTGCTACCTCTGCCCGCCCAGGACCCCGAGCTGCTGTCGGTGATCCGGCAGAAGGAGAAGGACCTGGTGCTGGCGGCCCGGCTGGGCAAGGCGCTGCTGGAGAAGAACCAGGACATGAGCCGGCAGTACGAACAAATGCACAAGGAGCTGACGGACAAACTGGAGGTGAGTTCGTCCCCCGTTGGGATGGGTGGGAAGCGGGGAGCCCAGACTCCCGCCAGGCCCTGGGCCGCTTCCGGAGCCACTCACCCACTCCACCCCTCCCTGGCTCACCCTACCTCACAGAAAACTGCCTGGAAGCATGGGAGTAGGATGAAGGGGTTCGGATGATCAGACCAGGGCATCCATCGAATACACAGACTTTGCCACCCTGTTCACAACACATGGGTCCATGCACACTGTGGACCAGTCATGTATGGACTGTACACAGCATCTCCTAGAGAGCTCACAGTATGACTGTTCATGCAGGCTGGGTGATGTGTGCACACATCGCAGTGAGAAAGGGTAAGCATTTAAAATATGCTTCAGGTTTTCAGAGTAGTTAATCTCTAATCAGGGTGTTAGCCTAACGCTTTCTAGTTTGGGCATTAAGGCCTCCAGATGCCCTTGTCTTAACTTCCCGGCAGCTCGGAGTTGTGGGAAACAAGTGCCCCTCAAGGAGCTTTTTATAGCCTTCAAATACTCGGGGATTAGGAAGCGTGGTTCCATTGCAGCCAGGCCAGCCTGGGCTCAGCATGTGACCCTGGTGGTGGATTTAATTTGGGCCTCAGTATTTATGTGTATCTAAACAGCACTTTTCTGAGTCCTGGGTCTCACACGTGCAATTGGATGGCCAGATATGAGGACCATATTGTTTCAACTATTATACGTACCCCTTAAAGGAGCTATAAGATTTCTGCCATGTCTTGCCCTGAACTAGAAAAGGGTCTTAACTAGAAAGTGGCATGGAACACCACCAGCATTTCTAAAAATTAGATTTAAAAAAGGGGAAGCATCGGTGTCAGCGGAGACAAGCTTATCTTTTTTCGGCCTGTGCATTTACTATTGTTACCCACTTTGGTTGCAGCCAGTTTTTTTGTTTTGTTTTGTTTTTTTTATTGGTTACAGGAGAATAGTACAGTCCTGAATAAGGTCTGAAATCGACCCGAGTCTGGTTCTATATCACGTGCTGCTGCTTGAACAGTCAGAATGTAGGCTGCAAAACTTTTCTAGGATACGATTTAAGTGTGTCTGTAGTCTAACAACATACCACAAGTAAATCGGGGAGAGAAAGAGGAAACCAGTGAGTGCCCTGTGGTTCAGTTGGCCTGTTAACTAGGTCTGCCAGGCGATGAACTCTCCAGATACCTCTGTGAAAAGCGGTTTGTGAAACCTATAGGTAGACTGCCAAAAAGCAGCCCAGTGAATTGAATTGTTTCATTTTCACTTGAAGTGGAGGTCTACAAATAAAAGGGTGTCTTTTTTTTTTTTTTTAAGAGATTTGATTACACGGCTCTATATAGAAGTACTACTGCAGAGATTTATACCTGATCTGAAATTCCTTCAGTGAGGGAGCTGATTGAAGAGACAGCCGACTTGAAAGGCCCATCGTATCAGTCAGCTTGATGAGTGGTAGATTTCAGAGTAGTCCTGAGGGTGCAGTTACACACATCCTGGGTCCCGTGTGGAGCCTTGAGACCTTTCTTCAACAAAGGAAAAAGATTTCAAAATTCCGTACCCAGACAGGTTCTGTTGTAAGTGAGTAAATCACCTTTCTCTATGAAATAGTTTAAAGCTCTTAAACTAGTTTTTAAAACCCTCACTCCTCTGCAGGTCTGCATCATGAACTCTAGTTAATTTCTGGAAGTTGGTTGCACAACAGTGTGAATGTACTTAACACTACTGAACTGTGCACTTAAAAATCAAGACGGGAAATTTTGTGTGACGTATACTGTAGTTCCCCCTTACCTGAGGAGGATATGTCCCAAGACCCCCAACAGATGCCGGAAACCACAGATAGTACCGAACCTCATATGTACCGTGTTTTTCCCTATACATACATACCTATGATAAAGTTTAATTTATAAGTGAGGCACAGTAAGAGATTAACAACAACGAATAATACAACAGAACGATTAAGTCGAGAACTTTGACCTTTTCACTTACAGTAAATACTTCACAGCTTCCCTGGCGGTTCCAAATTGCCAGCTTTGTGTTTTGCAGCCACTATTAAGTAAAATAAGGGTTACCTGAACACAAGCACTGCAATGCCAGGTTAGGTGACCTGTTAGCCCCGAGGGCTCCGAAGTGACTAACTGGCGGGGAGTGTATACAGCTGGACAAAGGGATGATTCACTTGCCGGGCAGGACAGAGTGGGAGGGTGCGAGATTTATCATGCTTCTCAGGTGGGTGCAAAGTTGAAAACTTATGAATTGTTTATTTCTGGAATTTTCCATTTAATATTTTTGGACCAAGCTTGACTGTGGGTAGTTGAAACTGTGGAAAGCGAAACTACAGATAAGGGAGGAATGCTGTACTTTTACCACATTTTTAAAAAGTTTATTTTTTAAAAGGCAAATATTGAGCATTATTGAAGCTGTGCATGAAGAATTCAAGGTATACTGTTTCTTCTAGATATGTTTGAAAATGATCCTAAAAATTTTTAGTTTTGGCTGGCCAATGGGACATACCTAGTTGGTTAGAGTGTCGTCTGATGCACCAAAAAGTTGTGGATTCTGTTCTGGGTCAGGGCACATACTTAGGTTGTGGGTTCGATTCCCCTGTTAGAGCACATATATCGATAGGAGGCAACTGATAAATGTTTCTCTCTCTCTCCCCCTTTCTCTCTCTAAAATCAAACTTTTTAATCTACAAATTCATGATAAGTAAAAGGAAACTGAGGCCCAGAGAGACTGTGGACCCCAAGAAGGCAGGCACTATACCAGTTGTTGTTTTATCCTCAGCCAGTCATTATGTTCCACTGATTTGAGAGAAAGAGAGAAACATTGATGTGGGAGAGAAACATGGATTGGTTGCCTCCCCTACAGGCCCAAACCCACAACTCAGGTATGTGCCTTGCCTGGGAATCAAACCCTCAACCTTTTTGGTGTACAGGGTGACACTCCAGCCAATGAGCCAACCCAGCAGGGGTTCTAGTACTATTTTTTTAAAGAGGGCAAAGCAAGGAAAATGAAAATGATTACATAATAGGACTCAGTGGTAGATTTAGGGAAGCATACCTAGGGGTCCTTATTTGCATTCAATGCTAGGTCCACTTTTTAAAAAGGTCTTTTTTCTTTGTAATTTTCAAGAAACATATCCTGGACTTATGAGAATGGTGTTGCTTTTTCAGTTCTTTGCAGAAATCCATTTCTGTGACAACCAATTTTAGGTAGGATAATGGTACTAGCTTTTGTTTTTTCAGAGTTTTAAATAAACTTTTTCTTTTTTAGAATGATTTTAGATTTTCAGAAAAAATGTGGAAAGATGGTGCAGAGAGTTTCCATATGCCCTCTACCTAGTTTCCTCTCTTTCTAACATCTTACATTAGTATGGTACACACCATAATGAAGAAACCAATACTACCTGGTCAGTGTGGCTCAGAGGTTGAGTCTCCACCCAGGAACCAAGAGGTCTCCAGTTCGATTCCCAGTCATGGCACATGCCATGGTTGCAGGCTTGATCCCCATTGTGGGATGTTCAGGAGGTAGCCAATCAGTGATTCTCTCTCATCACTGATGTTTCTCTCTCTCCCCTCTTCCTTCCTCTCTGAAATCAATTATATATATATATATATATATATATATATATATATATATATATTTAAAAGAAACCAATACTGATACGTTATTATTAACTTAAAGTCTTGAGTTTATTCAGATTTCCTTAGCCTTTAATGTATATTTCTGTTCCAGGATTCCATTCAGGATATCACATTATAGTTTTCATATCTTAGTCTCTTCTTTGCTGCAACAGTTTCTTAGACTCGCCTTATCGTTGTTTTTTTAATTCATTTTTATTCATTGATTTTTTTTATTTTTTTTTTTAGAGATAGAGGAAAGGGTGGAGGAAGGGAGAGAGAAAGAGAGGGGGAGAGAGAGCAACATGGATTTGTTGTTCCACTTATTTATGCATTTATTGGTTGATTCTAGTATATGCCCTGACTGGGCATCAAACCTGAAACTAACTGAGCTATTTGGCCATGGTGAATTCTTTGTTTGTGATGACCTTGACACTTTAGATATTTTTCTATTCTGTGGAGGTATAACTGATCTATAACATTATGTTAGTTTCAGGTGTAGCTATTAACTTCTAAGACACCATATAGTCCCAAGAAACAGGAAGCATGGGCAGAGCCTCCACACTTGCCGACAGTTCTGCCTGGAGCAGCGGTTGCCACCCGAGTCTGAGGTCCGAAAAGTTGGCGACCGCTGGCCTAGAATTTACTGGTTAATTCAGCACTTAATTGAAATGCAATTCTAGGAGAAACTTTTCTTTTTCAGAGTAAAGGCTACATTTTGTATGTTTATAAATAGGGAGGTCTTGACTTTCTTCCCCTCCCAATCCCCACGTGTTGAGAAACTTGAATTAGGAACTTTGTCACGTGTCCAAAGAAACACGAGGACAGATTGATCAGCACCACCTGTCCTCAGCCCCACCCCTCAAGTGGATCGGATTGTTTCAGTTGCTTGGTTGGGCTGCTCACTAACAGCTGCTTGCTGAATATTTTTAAGTCTCTCTGTTCTTTAGAACACAAGCCTAATTTATCTGGCCTCAGCAACACTGTGAGTACCGAGTTCTTGCTGTTGCCGTCTGCTCAATATTTTTCATTTTGGAAAAACTCAATAAAACCAAGAATTAGTTTTAAGACTGTAATTATCACTTGTTTCCGCATTGCATCTTTCTGCAGTGTCTACAGTGAGTAAAACGTTCTCCTTTTGGACGTTTAGCAATATGAGGGAAGCACCGATAGAGCATGAATTCTCATGCTGATGAGTAGAAGTCCCTCCCTTGTCGTTCCTTTTCCCACATGCTCCAAACAGACTGCATAAAGTACAGCCAAAAAGTGACACTTTCAACAAATATACTAGCATGGCTATAAACAAATGAGTTGTTCCCTTAAAGTGATCAACTTGGGAGGCTGTACATTTATTTCAATATTTATTAACAAACTGCCTTCGCTAATGCCCTCAGAAATTTAGTTTTGGATCACTGCTTTTATCGTTTGGCACATTATTTGGCCTATTCTGTAATGGTAAATTATCATCTTTTGGAGGTAAATTCAACTTTCAGAAACACACCTCACCCAGAGCAAAGTAAGGCGTGAATAGGGGTCAGGATGAAATACCATCACCTCTTTTTTAGACACATCTCAGATGTGAAGTAATGGGACCAATTTTCTTGTGAAACTACACTCTGGCCCTTAAGGCTTCCCCAAAGAAGCATTCCAACAAATATTTGAAAGGTGAAATCTTGGATAGATTGAGAGCCTCGCCTCTCAAGGTGAAGAGATGACTGAGTCCTCTGAAGGAGAAGATTCAGATGCTCCTGTTAGCCTGTTGAAATAATTTCATGCTTGATAACAACCTTTGGTGCGTCAGATCTTGGATAGGTGGGTGGGTGGTGAATGGATGGATGAATGGATGCCTAGGCCTCATCCCATTCTTAACTAAATCACGATCTTTGAAACGGATTCAGGTGGGTATATTTTGGACATTTAAATCAGAGCTTTTCTGAGAGACAAAGTTGAGGACCATTGCTTTTAACTTATATTATATCATTTATATGATTCTTTAGGTATAGACTTGGCTTTTTTTTTTTTTTTTGTACATACTATGCTTTCAAGTAGGAGAATATACTTGCCTCATCGCGCAGAAACAGGAAGATGTTCTTATTTCCTTCAATCCAAAAGAGTTTTTCTGTTAAGCTGCTCCTTCTAATCATTTATACTTTTTCCTGCCTATCATTTTCACACACCACTTATTACAGTTTTTATGCCATCTCACTGGCATAAAAACTCCATGTAGGCAAGAACCATGTCTGTTTTGTTCATCACTGTGTCCCCAGCACAATGGCTGGCTCCTAGTAAGCACTAAAGAATGAATGAATGGATTAGGAAAAAATGTGCAAGGCTACCAGGCCATGATTTAGACTAGGCCTGCACCTGACCTTGCCTTAGTGATTTTGAAATACAGTGCTATATATATAGCAACAAATATTTATTGAGTGGTGATTTAGAGCATCAAACAGTCAAATGACTGGGACACCAATCCCAGCTCTGTCATTTATTAGTATTGATCTGAGCTCGTTTCTTAACCTCTTCTGTTGCCTCATTTGTAAGAAAAGATAGTAAATCTGAAGGGTCTCTGGAGTTCTTTCCGTTTCTGAAAATTCTGTCTGGTATTCTGCCAGGCAACAGAAGCCTTCTTAAGTAGTCATTTTAAATTGTTTAAATGTATAGTTCAATTAATTAGATAACTTGCTAAATTTCAAGTGAATTCCTAAGTCTAGAACCTCATGCCCAAGGACAAGAATAAACATAATAATTTAAGTATTTTCGAAAGGAATGGCATTCTCTTTATGAAACCAGCTCCTTTTCTATTCTGGATGGAGGGGATATTTTTGTAGCTGTGAAATGGACTTTTCCCTAGTGATAGTGTCTTGTTGTACTAAAAAAGAAAAGTTAAGCGAGGTCCTGGCCAGGTAGCTCAGGTGGTTAGAGCATGGTCCCAATACACCAAGGTTGTGGGTTCCATCCCTAGTCAGGGCACATACAAGACTCAACCAATGAATGCATGAGTAAATGGAACAACGAGTCGATGTTTCTCTCTTCTCTAAAATCAATAAACAAACAAAAAAAGTTAGGAGAGTGTGCAAAGAGAAAAAAACGAATTTTTAACAGGTTTTAAATCTTCACTTTTCACCTAGCACTTAGAACAAGAGAAGCACGAACTAAGAAGACGATTTGAGAACCGAGAAGGAGAGTGGGAAGGGCGCGTGTCCGAGCTGGAGAGTGACGTGAAGCAGCTTCAGGATGAGCTGGAGAGGCAGCAGGTTCACCTACGGGAGGCAGATCGAGAAAAAACACGGGCTGTCCAGGAATTATCGGAACAGAACCAAAGGTTACTGGATCAGCTCAGCAGGGTGAGTCCCAAGTTAAGAATCAATGGTGTAAAATTCTTAACTGAATTTGAAAGCTGAAATAGAGCTTCTGTATCATGTCAATCATGTTTATTAAAGTAAGACTAATTCTCACTTCGGTTGCGTTTGGTGTTATATCAACAAGTTGAATATTTTTCACCTATAAGGACCTTAGCTGTGTTACGAATCAGGCATTGGCCAGCTATTGGGGCTTTAACAATCACTTAACTTGGGGGTTTTCTCATTTTTTAAGTGAAAGAGTTGTGTCTAATGATTTCTGACATTCCTTGTAGCTCTAAAGTCTCTGATTCCTTTACCTAGAGAAAACCTGTCACTGGGGAAATTATATTAATGCTTTTAGTTCAAATATCAAATGCCTCTGTTTTCAAACTGAAGGGAAAATTTCTAGGGCAGATGATTTTTATTGATGTTGCCTTTGTGAATGTAGATTCCTTTGTATTATTTAAATATGAAAGGAGGTATGTGTATCTGTATTTAAAATTTGTTCTCTTTATTTCCACACTAAGTACAAATTCTTTAAAAAAAATTCTTGTACCATTTATAGGGTGGTGTCATGAAAATACTAATTAACCAAGGTCAGGTCTGTAAAATCATTGCAAAGAAAGGGTTGGGAGGCTGGATAGGTGGAAATCTAATTTAAATATAGAACATAACTTTTTAACAAATGCAGGAATGTTGTTAATGCCCTGGTCTCTAAATCCACCCACTTTTGAATTAAGAGCTGCATTTACTATTGTTCTTAAGTCCTTCTTGTTTGTTGAAAAGAAAACTGCTAACAAATCAATGTTCTCTCTCTCTAAATTTTAAAAATGTATCCCTGGAACTGTCACTTAAAGTCAGCAGAGGCGTGTCCTGCTTTTTCCTCGCTCTGTCCTGTCGCTGGGAATGCAGACATCCATCTTGGGGCCAGAGGATAAGGGCTGCGGCCTGGGATGGCGGAGTGAGGAGCTGGAAGGGGCTTGGGTTCTTGGAGAGTTAAAAGAATGAAGCCAGCATCTGCCTGAACTGCACACCTACTTCCTGACTTTTAGTTAAAAGGGAATAAACCACTGTCACATGTTTAAAAAAAAAAAAAAAGTAAAAAAATAGAATGTAGGTGAGAATTCAAGCAATAGATCTAAAGGTCTTACCTGCAAGTTTCCTGTCTAGGGAATCCAGTCACCATTTGATTGGCTGGAAAGGAAGAGTTTGATAGTTCTTCAAGAAGTCATTTACAGCCGAGACCGGTTTGGCTCAATGGATAGAGCGTCGGCTTGGGGACTGAAGGGTCCCGGGTTCGATTCCGGTCAAGGGCATATAATGTGGTTGCGGGCACATCCCCAGTAGGGGATGTGCAAGAGGCAGCTGATCGATGATTCTCTCTCATCCATGTTTCTAACTCTCTATCCCTCTCTCTTCCTCTCTGTAAAAAATCAATAAAAAATATATATATTTTTTAAAAAGTCATTTACAGGGCCAGCTCATTAACTCAGTTCTAAACTGACTCAGTTCTAAAACCATTTTTAGCAACTGGGGAGGGAATCTCTAACCTTGTGAGACTTTATACAGGTTTTTGAATCTTTGTTACTCATGAAAGGTTAAATTAACCAGGTAGGCCTAGCCACATTGATTTGTTTGTTCAAAAACATTTATTTCACGCTGATTCTGAGCAAGTGTTTCTTATGGAGACTTATGAAAGGAATACAACCAGCCAGAACAATGAAAGGGGAAATTATTTCTTGAGGCTAAATTCACGTTCTGAAAGAACTCTCGGTGGCCAAGCAGAGGAAGGGAGAAAGCAAACATGAGCATGACATAGGAAAGAGCCCAGAGCTGGGAATGCAGATGCTTCTCATTAGCGACCTTCTTGGTGCCTCACTTTCCTTGTCCTTAAAATGGGGGGAAAACGTGTGCTGCGTGGAAGTACCGTATGTACTGCTGACGTGAGACTAAGAGAAAGTGTTTACGTTAAGTCGTATGAGAAGATAAGGATTTGTGTCAGTGTGGATGGTTCTTTTATTTAAGCAGTGCCTTTATAGTTGAGGTTCCTTTGCCTAATTTCTCTGTAGAAATTCCTGATAAGCAGCTCCCAAAAGATTGTAGGAGGATATCGTTTCCACTCGATCTAGATTCTTTGTATCCTCTCTGGCCTTGAATGTAGGCCCTTGGTGAGTTTAGTGGCCTTTTTTCCCCTTTCTCTTTTTAAGCAGGACAATTCCCTGGGGTTTCTTTCCATCAGCAACCAGTTTAGGGTGCATTACATTTTTATTTTATTAACTGGGTATTCAGGAACTTGAGGACTCGAGCAGTACTTTGAAGTGAATTAAGATTCTCCTAGGACAAGAAAGCAACCAGCAGAAGTAATAGAAGGCCATACTTTCCTTGCAGTGTACATAATGTGCTTTTATAAGCATGAAATGTATAATGTCTACAATGCAGTACAATATTTCTGTGGTGCTTTTGTCCAAAGCATTTTTAAATATATTTCCTTTACTGCTGTGTCTTTCAAGGCAATTGTTTGTTTGTTTGTTTGTTTTTAAATATATTTTTTATTGACTTCAGAGAGTAAAGGAGAGGGAGAGAGAGATAGAAACATCAGTGATGAGAGAGATCATTGATTAACTGCCTCCTGCACACCCCTGCACATTGGGGATCATCCCACAACCAGGCATGTGCCTTGCCAGGAACTGAACTGTGACCTCCTGGTTCTTAGGTCGAAGTTCAACTACTGAGCCACGCTGACTGGGCTGTTATGTTTTTTAATAATAGTTTTATTAAGATATAATTCATAGACCATAACATTTACTTTTTAAAAGTGTACAATTCCGTAGTTTTTAGTATATTTACAGAGTTGTGCTACCAGCTCCCCTATCTATAATACTTATAGGCTATCTTACCTCTCCCCCCTCAAACAAACCTGTACCTATCAGCAGCCACTCCCCGAGTCCTCCTAACTGGCTACTCCATGCCCTGACAACCACTAATCTCTGTCTATGGATTTGCCTGTTCCACACATTTCATATGTGACCCTTTGTGACTGGCTTCTTTCCCTTAGCACAATGTTTCCGAGGCTCATCCACATCGTAGCAGGCATTAGTGCTTTATTTTTATAGCTGAAGAGTATTCCACTGCGTGCAGATTACATAGTTTGTTTATCCACTCATTATTTGGTGAACATTCAGGTTGTTATCACTTGTCGGCTACTATAAACATTCATGTACAGGTGTTCTGTGTGACTAAGGTTCTTTTCAGCTCTAAAATAGGGTGCTGTGAGCATGTGTATCCGGGAGCCTCTGGATCCTCGTTAAGATGAAGAAAGGGAAGGTATCGTTCTGAGTCCATAGCTAGGAAAGTTTTAGGGACAGGAAGAAAGATACATGTCTTGCTTAAGGATCTTCCTTTTGAAGACTGATTGGGCCTCAGTTTCCGATTTCTGAGGCAGCAATTAAGATCAGAGGCGTTGGAGCCAGACAGCCCTGGGACCAAACACAGACTCTGCTCTTTACCAGCTGGATGAACTTGGAAACCTTTTTTTCACCTTAGTTTCCTCCTCCATGTAATAAACAATTATATTATTTCTAGTGCCTGGTAGTGTTGTGAGGACTAAGCGAGAGAATGTATGTTACAGCTCCAATCACAAAATCTAGCATATCCTAAGTGCTCAGTAAGTATGGTAGCTGTCATTATAATCATCATGCCCTCGTCATATCAGTGGGACTTCAGCATTTGTGAAACACGGATTCTCTCACTTGAGAGTGTCCCCAGCACATGCCAGTAGATGAAAATGTTTTGTTTAGTACATCAGTCGCTATGCAAAAATATTTGTGTAAAATTGGTTATCCCAGGAGTTGAGTTGGGTTTATTCTATGGCACCCCGTATTCCCTGGATACACCTGTATATGCTGCTGCATATATCCTGGAGATACCTTGATGGCCTGTGTTTTTGCTTATTTGGACAAAATGCCCTCTAAGTTCTCTTCTAGCTTCTAAGATCACGAGTCTTGTTTTGTGAAACTCAAGCTGATGTATTTGGAGAAAGTGTAATTCGCTTCCCAAGTTACAAAGTAATATCACGATGGCATCATCAGTGGCGTTTCATAGGATGTGTTAGACATTTATCATCCTGACTATATCACAAGTGGAAAGAATACAGTGGGCCCTGCTTGCTCTCACAAAGGGCTCCTGGCTGTACTTGTTGTCTAAGGAGAGTATTCCCTTTAAAAGCTTCAGATGGAGGTTTGGTGAGAAGCCTTCTGATACATAATATAGTATTTTTCATGGCATGACAGCAAAAACCGCCAGAGTCCCAGACAACTTTTCTCAACAGCAGCAGCAAAGATATCGGGGTTCTGATCCGTATTAAAGAGGTGATTATTCGCCATTTATCCTGCTATAGCGTATAACAAACACAGTTTAGACACTGTGGGACGTTCTTACATTCTGTGTGTACACCAACGAGCCAAAGCAGTGATTTGGACAAGGAGAAACAGTCTTGTTCATTATGAGAAGAATATCAGCAACCACACAGGCTTCTTACTTGGCCTTTTCAGTCTTCAGAGGCAGTTGAAATAAGATATTATTTTCAAAATGAATCTCCCTGGTGTTAGAAACGCCAGTCAGAGTTAAAAGAAAGCATTTTCCTGATACTAATGAAACCCTGCTCCCACATTCTTGCAAACACTAAGGTCAGACGTGAGCACCTGGTGACCCAAGAATGGGAAAAGCAATTGCTTTCTTATAAAAAGTGGGGTTTAAAATTGCTTAGGGACTTCTAAGGGTTTTCTTCCCCAAAATACATAGCTCTAGAGTTTGTAAAACTGGCCAGAAAATGTCCTTACACTTTTCCCTGCGATTTTAGGTGTGATATGTCAGTCACACCTTTTTTCCATCTCCTTCCCTCCTCATCCTACCAACAGCATGTGTGTGGTCCTAGCCCCATTTTCTTTTCTTTTTTTTTTTTTAAAATATATTTTATTGATTTTTTACAGAGAGGAAGGGAGAGA